TCTCTCTATCTCTCTCTATCTCTCTCTATCTCTCTATCTATCTATCTCTATCTCTCACACCAACCCCGCGTACATCCACTCATACACACTCACTCACTCTATCTATGCAGATGGTAAAAAATTGGTAATGATTTGCTTTTGTTGTCAAATTAAAATTTTCGCTTACAAGTCGTAATATCATATTATCAATACACTGTAGTATATTGCAGCGAGTGGTGCTTTTACTTTTTTACACGATAATAATTTACATTATCAATTTCATTTTTAAAACTTTTGATAATATTCACGGTAGTTAAATAAATTAAAAAAAAAAGAAACTCACGGCTGAGCCGGGTTTCATAGGTGTTGCACCAGGTAGAGGAGTAATAACGTGTCCACCGGTTTCAGTCTGCCAAAATGTGTCCGCTATACTGCATTTTCCATGCCCTACCAGATTGTAAAACCAGAGCCAAGCTTCCGAATTAATTGGTTCGCCGACTGATCCGAGGACCTGAAATTATTTAAGAAATAGTCGCGCTAAAGGACAACTTGTTGCTAAAAACATTGAAAAGTAAAGTGTTTATGAAAGTTTGGATTTCTATTTTTTTTTTTTTTTTTTTTTTTGTCTACCTTAAGCGTGCCCAAATCATGTTTCTTCACCAGATTGTCGCCAAATTTCATGAGCGAACGAATTGCTGTCGGTGCCGTGTAAAACTGATTGACTTTATATTTATCCACTACTGACCAATATCTGTCGTTCGTTGGATAGAACGGAGTTCCTTCGAACTGAAAGATCATTTGTAATGTAAGGAATTTAACTCAAACAATTTGGATATAATGTCAGTCAAGTTTTTTAACCTACGCACAGAAATAGCGATTCAGTTAAATAATAAAAAATATTTTAAACTCGAATTTCAACATATAAGTTAAATATATTTAAAGGATATCTATTATATATAATATACATGTCTAAAAAAACTAAATATTACTTGTAAGCAGTAAAAATAATCAGGAAAAATCTTTCTTATAGAATATAAGCGGAAATATCAGTTTTATTGGAATTTAAAATTTTAACAATTCATATTGTTTAATTAATTATGAAATGAGACTTTATTGCAATTTTAGGTAAGGAAATCGAACATATTAAATCAATATCTCAGGTATTATATATATTCAAAGTATCTGAAAAAATATAATTGTATAAGCATTCTATTTCTGAAATCGCAATTTTCCGATATAAAGTGTTATTTTAATAATTAACATATAATACAATAACTAAGCATAGACGATATAAAACACAAAACTATTAGCATTTTTAAAATATGTAAAATTTGAAAGCCTTACATTTTCGTATTATACAAAAATATGAGAAATTTAAATGTTCAACAAATGATCGAATTTAATAATTTTAACTATCTCAATATCGAATGTCATTATTTATTAATTATTTACGTATTAGAGGATATTTCTACTAAAATTTTAATAATATTTTTATATTAAAGCCTAAGTAAATTCACATGAAAAGCTTTAATTTCTGCCAATGAGTAATATGAACATTTGCCGATATTATCATTTCACTAACGTCGATCGACATTTTACGAACTTTTATGGCCGTTATACGGAATAAGTACCAGAACAGAAGTTGCCCCATTAGCTAATGGGCCATAAACAACATAGGTGTGTCCAGTAATCCAGCCAATGTCGGCGGTACACCAGTAGACATCACCGGGATGATAATCGAAAACGTACTTGAAGGTTGTCGCTGCATATATCAAATATCCCCCAGTAGTGTGTAATACACCCTTAGGCTTTCCCGTCGAGCCGCTGAAAAAATATTATTTTTATAAATATCTTAGCAGGTGGCCAACATGTTTTTAACTACCCAAACGTCTTCCCGAACGAAAATCACAATTTATCCCTATAATCTGCCCATTCCATCGGACATACTTTTACGAGTTGATCAATGTCTCTCGATTGCCTTATCGTTCAATTAATTCACAAATAATTACGAAATTCGCCGACTCTCGGTACTCATCGAGCTTCCTAACGAATAAATCAATGCTTCCCTAGAAGTGTTAAAGTGAAAAAACGTTACCTCGTGTACAGAATGAATAGCGGATCTTCCGCTGATACCCAAACTGGATAGCAACTGGTCTCAGCCTCTTCCATTTCATCGTGCCACCATGAGTCGCGATCATCGTCCCAAGGAATTTGTTGTGAGTCTCCGTTCGAATTGCCATTCGTAGCACCGTCCCTACGAACTATTACGGCAAAAATTCAATACAGGCGTTAATTGCGTTTTATTTTAGTACGTAGATGCCTCGCCGTTACGTATATAATTACATCATCATTCGCTGAGAAGAGCGGAATTAAATAAATTATAACTGCCGTAAGTATTTCCGTATAATAGAATGCAAAAGCTTATTCATTGTTAGGAAGGAGCATTTAGGTGTTTTAAAACAATAATTAATATGAATTTGTTAAATAAAATAAAAAACCCATATTATAACTAATTTAATTTTTAAGATACTATTCGTTTAAAAACTTCATTTATCTGACGTTACGTAATAATTGTTTTGCTTTGTTTACATATGTGATTTATAAATTTTAGTGACAAATACCGAAACAAATTTATAATCACTGAAAATTTCACGATTTTATTTCCTAAATTTGAGATTGAATTTTATTCAATACGAATAAAATTAATGCATTATAAATATATCTATTATTAATATGTCCATATTATTCAAGTTATGCAAGAATTGTAGGGGAAAAATGAAATTTTTTGGGAATAAGACTATATATTATAAAAAAAATTTTTTTTTTTGGAACAAATTATAAATTTATAAGATGTATAAAAATTTTTCAAGGGATATACATTCTACATAAAAGCTTATTATTAACGTTATAGGGACGAAGTTGATGCATAAGTCTGTTATAGTATTATGAAATAGGATTTTCATTTCTTAGATACATCGCATAGATTAAAAGGTAATTTTTTTACAATTACCTTTAATTCTTACAAGAGTGAGAAAGAAAAATTTTTTATAATGTTTATAAGGAGCTTGTACATTTGTGAAACAGAAAAAATACTAACTTCCTTCGCCTTTGCCTTTGGGTGACGTGAGCCGCCTGAGATGCGACACAACTACGCAATTTTCGACTTCGTGACCTTGACACTTGACCTTCTTCAGAGCTTCGTCGCAAATGACCTTCAATAAAAGAAGTTTCTCGCCACGCCAAACGCCATCGGCTGTAATCAGCATCTTTGCCTTCGAATCGAGTATCCTCTCGGCCAAGGAATCGGCAGAGTAGCCGGCAAACTATACATAATTCGTACAATTACATTAAACTTGTCATTTTAATGAATCATGAAATTATTGATGCAATAAAATAAAATTCGACATTTACAATAACGTGTACGTCTGTCTTTGATCAAGTTATGAAATATGATAACAATCATTTCATTTTAAGCATTTTATTTCAAGCAATACATTAGTAGTAACATATAGTAGCATAATTAAAAGAAATTCAAAAGACATTTAAATTACAATATAAAATGAAATAGGAAAACATAATTTATTAATGTTAGCAAAGATTAATATTTTCTTAATATTTATAATTATTAACATAATGTCTTATCTTTAATACTATATAGTTTAATACTTAGTAGCATTGAAAACATAAAAAATTGCAAAGATATCGAAGGATGTATAATATAATACTTCAACAAAAGTATTTTCATGATTAATTTTTCCAAATCATTTTTACCTTATTATCTTATTAATTTATCTAGTTTCAAAGTAGAGAATCTTTTTCAAAAATTCTTTCTTTTAAATAGATAATATTATTGCTAAGAATCTTATATTTCAATTTATGATTTGTAATAGAATTTAAAAGGTAAAAAATATAAATCTAAATATTAATATTTCAGATTTTATATTTTATACAAAAATACCGAATTTAAATTTACATGTAGTATTTTTATTAGTAAATGTTAATTTAATTAAATATGTACAAAAAATTTTCTACTATTAGAATAAAATTTATTATATTGAGTCCAAAAGGAAATTTATATATTTAAAAAATCCAGAATACGAAGAAAATTTTTTTTATTTCCTTTCATACTTTTTTTTTTTTTTTTTTTTTTTTCTTTCAAGAATTGCTAAAAATCGTTAATTCAACACAAATGAATAACGATATATTTTTATTTGTTCTAACGTTCGAAGGTCTGATTAACATTTAAATAAGAAAAATTGCTTTGAAAATCTATGTTTCTCTCAATAAACGTACAAGAAAATTATATAGTAGTTGCAGGCTAATATTAGTTGATCTTTTTTTTCCTATTTTGTATTTATTTTAGATCGTTTACAGAAAATATGTTCCAATTCATTTAGTTTTTCATTAATGAATAATGGTTTGCATAAGTCACTATAGTATTTGTATATTATTCGTATATTTGTATATTTGTACATTATAGTATTCATTTGATTTATAAGAAATGTTTAGTTTTTAAATGAAGTGAAGTAAGTTTAGTTCAATTTTATGAGTTAACAAAGACTGGGTTATTTATGGAAAATAATGTCTGACCGGACACGGCATATATCTACGTATCCAAAGTGCCAAAGTATATATTATTTTATTAATTTATTTTTCTTCTTCTTCTTCTTCTTCTTATCATTATTATTATTTCTATTAGTTATATTAAATACAAGTCTTTATGAGCATTATTTGTTAAAGTCTGTAATAATTTAAATAATATGTATGAAACTTCATATAGTATGTACTTATTTATTTAAACGATAAAGCATTAGAAAATCACGAACGAAGTTATATTATAAAAATTACATATAAAAATATATTTATTTTAATTACTGTACAATTAAGTTTTGTAATTGTATATATATATATTTTTTTTTTCTACAAGAGCGTATCATAATAAGGAACCTGTACTCTCTCATGTTGCATAAAATATTAAAATAAATTTAAAAAATAGATAACGCATCTTTATCAGTCATTATCTGAATTACATAGTTTAAAATGAACTACATTATTTAGATTTTTCAAGCAATAATATATTGTGATGCATAATAAATATAATTATAGTACTCAATGATAACGAAGGAAATTATTGCACATTCATTTTGAGAATTGATTTTACAATATATTTATAATATTTATTAGTTCCATTAAATCGACTACTAGTTTCATAATATTGAATAATGTAAAAGAATTATGTATTTTGAAAATTATTATTTATACATTGATTACTATATGGGATTGCACGTGTCTCTTTATACGCAATGAGGACGATTTTGTAAATAAATTAATAATTAGATTTAAAGTACCGACAGTTCAGGCCTAGATACTAATAAATATTTAACATTATACCGAATTACTGAATTTAAGGAAGTTTTAATATTAAAAAATGAGCCTTTCAAGTCTTAATACATGGATGTATATTTAAAGAGTAGGTGTAACGAAGAAAGTACCTTACCCTAGATCATAAAAATCCAAATAGTTTAGTTCGTTACAAAGGTATTACTCACCACGACACTGTGCACTGCGCCGATCCTCGTGCACGCGAGCATCGCAATCGGAAGCTCAAGGATCATGGGCATGTAGATGGCGACACGGTCGCCCTTTTGAATGCCTTTTGACTTGAGTATGTTGGCGAACCGGCAAACCTCCTCCAAGAGCTTGCGGTAGGTCAAGCGCGAGTAATCGTCGGGATCGTTCCCCTCCCTTAATTCAACAAATTAAAGATCCATTTATGAGAATTATATAGATTTTTTAAATATGTTAAATACTAGATGGAAAATTTGTAACGATAATCGACGATTCTGTAAAATGCGTTAGAGTATCTGAACAAGACACTGGCTAAATTCTGTTATACAAACACGCGCACGCACATACGTACAAGCGGGTGCACAAGCAGACGCACGCGCACGCGCACGCACATACGTACAAGCACGCGCAAAAGCAGACGCACATGTACACGGGCACGCGCACACGCACACACATAAGTAAATGCATTTAAATTAAAATTTTAGAATTTTTGTAAAGAATTATCATTTTTGACTAATTAAATATTGAAGTTGTTTTAAAAAGGAGAGATATTTTAGAATACTTGTAACCTAATATTTATAAACAATTGGCTCAAAAGTAAATAAAAAAATAATTCATTTAAAATAATTTACATAAAGAGAATATTAAAATATTTTATAAAATTTTAAATTATAATTATATAGAGGTCCATACTTTGATTTATATTATTATCTAAACCCGAACCGATTTTAATTATTTATTATATTTTGATAGTTTCAATAAATAGTTTACGTTTATTATAAATTCATTAGTTTATTTGTTTTTATTTAATCTGAAATTTATTTTAAAAAATTCATATTATTTTTCTAAAGATTATAAAGTTTATAAATATATTGTTAACAAATATGTATTAATGAAAATAAAAAAAACTCTTCTAATGAATAAACTTTCGAGCGTGAATTTTAAATTCCATTATTCGACAATGGTATTATTTAACTAACAATAAGCATTTTTGTTAATGCAATAATACATCATTAATTGTTGATTCAGCTAAGTAAAATTATAATTAAGACAATTATGCATTTCAATTTATTTTTATTTGATTTTTTACAAAATCAAATCGTTGTTAATTTATATATAATAATAAAGTCATGATTCGATGATGAACTTGAGATTTTAAGGTGTTTACGAAAAATAGATTGCGTGTAATATACATGATACAAGCATGGACAAGTCAATGTGTGTGAGACAAAAACGCGTGAATGGAAAAATTAGGTGCAGTGATTGTTCTTATCAATTTCACACATGTGATACCGAATTTTTTGTGTCACCACTATTTCTATGGATGCTTTTGAAATTTTTCATGATTCATATTAAATATATATTACATTTTAAAACATATAATTTTTAAAAATAAATTTCACCCTCAGATACAATAAAGAAAGAAAAATTTATAAAAATGAATAAAAATTATACAAGTTAGAATTATAGAATTTAAGAAAACTAAAAGAAAAATTATTAAAAAAAAAATATTCATAATTATATCATTACTATTAATTATACCTGATTAAATTATTTAGTTAATATTTCTCTATAATATAATGTAATGAAATGTTATACATTTTATCCATAAAATAATTTATTATTATATATAAAAGTGCATTTCCCTAATCTATTTGCTTTTCATATAATTTGGTGAACATAATTTAGTATGTTTTATTAAAAAACAAGTAATATAAGTACTGTCAAAAATAAATAATGATTATTCTATTATTAAATACTATGAATAAGAATTACGAACGAAATTTAATAATTTTCTTTTACAATAAAATATGTTTATGAAAATATATATTGCTGGTCTCTCATGAATATTGCTGAATGAACGTTACATCTTTATTAGTTTTAGCATGTTGTTACTAGAATATTAATCTTATATGTATTTAATTATTTATTCTAGAATATATTATATATATATATATATATATATATATATATACATATATATAAATATAAATTCAAATATTTGTATAGGTTCTAAGAAACACAAATGTAAATTAGAATGAAATATTAATCAATTTTTTAAGTTAATTTATGCAATGACAAGTAAAATTATGAATATCTAATATATTAAATAGATTTCACAAAGGCTATAGTTCTTAAAAATCTGAGTTTTATGTATTACAAAATTATATATTCATCAAACTTTATAATTGAACAGTCAATCAGCGACTTAAAATGGAATTAAATATTTTAATTTAGACCATAGCTTTATTCGATACAATATAAATACTATATCGGCTACTATAAATTCTGACGTACATATTAAGTTCTTTTAACAAAATAGTATGAATACAAATATATTTTTTATTATAAAAGAAGTGAAATTATTTATATTAAATCATCGAAATTCACATTTATTACATTATGTGGTGATGGAGAAGTTATATAATTGTTTATTATAGATAATATAATTCAATTGAAGTTTGCTTTTAAATAGACGAAAAAAATTATTATTTATAAAAATGTGTATGAATATGAAGTTCTTACACTTAAGAATATGAATATTATATATTACATATTAATCTATTGTTTATAAAGATTAGATAAATAATTATAATTATGGTTTCAAGTAATAAATGGATTACACAAAATATATATATATATATCTAGAGATATGAATGTCTCTGCAAATAGTATTTAGTTTGATTAAATAGATAAAATAATTGTAATATAAATGATATTCTGCCAATTTTATATTCAAGCATATTCGAATAATTAATATAAAATATATTTGTGTATAACAGTGAATAGTTATTATTATTATTATTATTATTGACTATATAATTAGTCTTTATTTTTAACAAAATTAAAAGAGAATATGGTTATAGATTAAAATTTATCTAACAAAAAATTGAATGTTTGCATAAAAACAAATTTTAAGTTTACATCTAAACTATTATTATAATAGTCATTTGATAAAATTAAAATTAATATTAATTAACATTCAAATTAATGCATTTTTGCATTTCGTATGAAAAATTGCATCTAATTTAACATGTGGAGATATTCCTGAAATGTTTCTTTACTTTATTTATTTATTCATTTTATTTATTAACAATTAAACTATGAAAATGTAATATAGAAGGTTCAGTTAACAGTGAATATTTTTATAATTATATCATAGGTTTACATATATGTCCCGATGTACTGATTCTACCCATTTAATTATTTATTAATTATATCATTTTAAATAGATATAATTTTAAATTTCATAGGAATAAATCGAGTTTCATTCTTCGCGAGTGTAACTTTGTACAAAAAAATTATATTAAAAATTGTTTCAGTATTATTTAATTAATTTTATTTTATTTTATTTAATTAATTTAATAATCGAATATATCAGTCAGGTATAATTATAATTATCATCTATGAGGATTCATGATGAAATGAGTTAATTAGATTGTTAATGAAAGATTTCAAATATATATCATGTCTTTTTTTAGTTTGTGATTAAATGAAATATTCTCGAATCAAACTAGGCAAAAATTAAATTATCTTCATAAAATTAAATTATATAAAGACATACATAAATGAATTGTTGCCAATTCGCCAAACAAATATATATATATATATATATATATATATATATATATATGTGTGACAATATTTTAAAAATATATGTAAATTATTTGAAAAGCATTAGTTTTAATGAGTGAGAAATGCAGAATTAATAGAATTTTTATTTGTACAATAAGACACGTTTGTTTCTGCAATTGATAAATAATTGCTATTTCTTGATTATATAGCTCATTGTATCATACATTTATTTATTACCATGAATTTATTCATGGATAATATAATAATATTTATTATTATTCATGAAACGTACGTGAAAAAACGAACAAGTAAAATTTAATAAGTTATTTGACAAAAATTTTTATTTAATAATTTTAATCTGTATTATATCGTTTCGATTACGAAGATATATTTAATTAATATTCTATTTATTTTTTTATAGATAATATTTATTCAATGGCTCAAAAAAATTTCGTGCTGTTTCTTGTCGAACGTTTACGTCCCTTAATTGCAAATCATTGCTACATTAATTTTTATTGTATTAGTGGTTCGATTAAGTAATAAGTGCAAAGGGATATAGAATATTAGTGTGAGTACATTTTATTTCAAAGCTTAAATGAATGAAAATATTTTGTTGAAATACGGATATCGAAGAATACTCATTTAAATCATTACTGAGATTTCAATGTCCAAACAATTATATTATAAAACAATACCATTTGCATTTTGAAATATAATGTTTCTACTTAATAATATTTTTGTATTGCTCAAGTATTTCTTCTTCTGACAAAATGAGTTAACAATTTCTTTGGAAGTTACAATCATCGCGTGATGAATTCTATTAATAATGATACATTACTGTTATTTCGTGCGATTAAACTTAACGCGTTTGTATTAAAAAATTGGTCATCCGATATTTTATCATCATTTTATGAAAGAGAAAGTGAAAAGTGTATTATCTAAAATGTAACGTAAAAAAAGGGAGAAATCTTATCAGTTCGATATAGAACATGTACACACATACACATGTGCGTACATAAATCGTACGATACAGCTCGTGATTGAAGAAAGACCACGTGCGATCTGTATTATGTCACGTGTAAGCAAAATTGCAAGATCGTGTCACAAAATACTGGTAAATTATTATCTTTTTAGTTTCGTCAAAAAAGATTATCAATATCTATAAGAACACATTATATTTACTAATGAACAGTGTAAGTATTGATATACAAGTTTTTTCGTATCGATGAAAACTAAATAAATCAATTTCATACAATGTTAATATATTATAAAAATGATTATAAAAAAACTTATTTATAAAAATGTAAATATTTTATTGGAAATAAATAATTAAACGTATAAGTATATTTTAAATATATATATATATATATGTGTGTGTGTTTGTGTGTGTGTGTGTGTGCGCGCGCGCGCGCGCGTGTGTACGATAAAAATAATGCCTACATGTCAATTCATTTTATTTATAAAAAACTATAGCCTGTTTAAGTTATTGTTATTGTAAAAACATGATCATTAATTAAAATCAATTAATAGATCCGTTTTTGTTATTCGATAAAGCTGTAATAAGAATTAGTGAAATGAATTTCAGAAAAGTAATTATTTACATGATGGAACATGTAATTTTATGATTTAACATTTATTTAATTATCTTTAGGATTTTGTTTATAATGCCAAAAACTATAATTCGTACAATTAAAACAAATTTTATACGTACGTTAATTAAATCTTTTTATAGCATGTAAATAACTTATAGTTTATATTAGTATTTATTATATTATTTATTATATTATATATACCGAGTACATAATATATTTTATTAAGACAGTTGGATATGAATTTCATTAACAATATAAAATTTTACGTCAGCATACTATTTGCCTCTTAAATATTGACAATGTATGCACGAAAAACAGAAACCAATTATGTTTTAGTCATATCCGAATAGTATAAATCATATAAATGTAAATATAGGCATTATAAGATTTAATGTAATTGTACAATAATTACTCATGAATATTTGTTGACTCAGCAAATTTGTTTGGAAATATTCAACCAATATTCTCTACATGTACAATAATTCTATCTTGGCTTTTGAAACGTTAGGATGACTTTATTGATAAAATACGCTGTAACAAAGGCATATATAAGTCATTATAGTAGAAGAAAATTGACGTACCTACTTTTACAATCAAATTACAATAATCGATTATCTGGCTGTAATGATGCATTATTTATTTCGTCTGCATATTACGTATTAAAAAGTATTTGATGCTTATTATTTATTAAATAATTTAAATTTTTATAAGTCACAATTGTTTATAAATGGTTGATAATTATAATAATGAGGATCATTATAATGCAAAGTTAATGTTTCAGAGAAAATTTTGAGAATTTTGAGCCCGATGCGTAATTACCAAAACAGTTGAAATTCAGAGCTCAGAGTGCTTCAATTGAAATAATATGCTTTTTCCAATAACACAGTTTAGATTTTTCAAATTAATTTTAAGAGTTGGTAACGAGCGTATAAGTGACTTGCGTCTACGTGTACCTACGATTCTTTATGTGCTGAAGAATATTTAAATTCCCAATGAACGGCGGTCAGTGGCTCTAAATGAACTTAAAAATCGCTCGTATAATTTATATGTTTCAACTTACTTGATTTTCTCTTATGTAGTATTTTTTTTTTTTTTTTTTTTTTTTTTTTTTGTACAATATGCACAATAAATTTGATAAATATACATTTAATATTAGGGTAGGAATGAAAACAATATGTTCAAATTTATTTGTCTATTATGTAATTCGGCGAAATATTTATTGAGTAATTATTATTAAGTGACTAAAAACTTTGTCAATTAATGTATTTGAAAGCCTTTGCCGTCATTTCTAAAATATTTTATTTGGAATTTTAAACAAATTGCATTTTACATAAAAATTTAGCGCAAAAAAGATGTCGCTGTATATCAACGAATGAAAACAAGAATAAGGAATATGAAGATATTTTTTTTTGCGTAAAAGTGTATGAATTATTAGTAATATTGTAAAATATAAATAAGTTAAAGAGGAAAAAATTTGATACATTTATAATTGAATAAAATTTATATTATTTATAATGATAATAATAATTGAAAAATAATATTATTTTATATTGTTAATAATCGACTCACTGGGAATGTATATATACAACAAACATTATTAATGGCAATTTTATATTAACAAACATATTATATACATTAAAAAAATTAAATTACTAATATTTTTATCGTTAATTTTACAAGACCTGTTAGTAAAAGTGTAAAAATTAATTTTTATTATATTATATACTTAGAAAAATGAAAGAAAAAGGAATATTTATAATTACAAAATTTATATAAAATCATTCATGTATTATAAATTATTTATAATTTTTATTGAAGCTTTTATTAATATTATTGATAATGTTCTTTTGTATTAACCAAATTATGCGTCTATATTTTTATTATCTTTATAACATTTGTAAGTTAAGCGTAAATTTAAATACTAAATTTGATAAATTATAGGTCTTTTATTCTTTGAAACTTCAATTTTTATATTATTATTTTTATTGTTAACATTATGTATCTAATGCTAAAGATTAAAGAACATTTCATATTTTGTCATTGATGAGTTTATTATTACTTCTCATATTTTATCCCCTAGTATAATTGTTTCGGCACTAATCTAGAATCTAATTTATTATCTGCATGGAAAAATACATATATAACAAAAGCAACGACAAAAGACATATAAATATTAATATAAATCTAAATAGCTTTTTAATACTGATTTACGATGCTGAACATCTTTTGTATTTCACAACTATTTTACCGTTGAGAACATTAAATATTATAGTTAACATAAAACACTTAAAATTTAAGAATTGTCATTTACTGATTAAAAAATCATTTCTTAAACAAGAAATTTTGTAGATCAGCTATAACCGGCGAAGAAATTAAACAGTAATTCTTATTATAAAAAAATGAAAGAATTATAATAACTTAATTGTCTATTTTATCTCCATGTATAAACAAATATAAGACATTTATTTATGTTACTAACATAGATTTAGAGTCTTTTCCTTTACAGTTTCAGTAAGTATATTATATAAAATTTTACTTGAATTAAAATTATACTATTAGTTAAATAAATTATAAATTATTTTTAAATATATTATTGTTTAGCTTTGCATATATTTTTTTATTATGAAAATATATTTTTATATTTATTAGTGCATTATAATTATATCAATTAAATAATCATCTATTTGCAAGTAATGATTAATATCATTTATAAATATAGTTAAAGAAAAATAAATAACTTTTATTTCACTTATAATGAATGTTTAATATTTAAAATGAATAAAAATAACACTTTAGTATTTTTTTTTTTAATACAGCAATTAATAAAAAAGTTTGGTGTACGATACAAAACAAATAAATTAATGCAAACAGCTTCATTTTGATTTCTGATTATATTAAAGAAAATATAATTTGCTAAAAAAAATTACATCTGCTACTGAATGAAAAATATAAATGTTATTTTGAATCAGTTAATTTTTACACAATTCTGTAATTTGAATTTTTCTATTGAAGATTGTAAATATTTATAACCCATTCATATGTCGAGAATTTTTCATAAAATTTCTTTAAAATCATATTATTAGAAAATATAAGAATATATAATTGATATGTTATGATAAATATGGTATATATATATATATATATATATATATATATATATATTATGTCTATATGATAATTTTATTAATGTAAAAATGGAATTTACCAATAAAAGGCCACTTGATCGCCCTTTCCACTTTTGACATTTTTGTCGAGTAAATTGAAACTCAAATTTGTTGTTGCTCCTTCCATCCATTTGATATAGATATCACCTTCATTTAAATTGAAATTATAAGAAAAAAATTTTTCCTCGGTCGTTTCTGTTTCCCAATAGAATTCCTTAGCAATTTTACCCCAAAATTGTGCAGGATTTTGTATTGATCTGTAGACAAATAATTTTAATGCTTGTTAATACATAATGAAATGTATATGTTTTATTAGTTTTGTACGTATATATATATATATATATATTTTTTTTTTCTTCTATAAATATATATAGATATCTGAATTCTTAAGAATTAAATAAAAAATTTACATGAATCATTGTATTTAAGGTGTCAATGTCAATTTAAGATATATAAGGAAAATTTAAATAATTTTTCCAATTGACATTGTTCCAATTAATAATCTATTATAACGCTATAAATAATTATTACAATTAATTAACTATTCCATGCCCATTTATATTAGCTCGAAATTTACTATTATTATTAATCTCTTAATAAAATATGCAATACCGCCCGTTGTAAAGAAATTCACGTTAAAAGGATAAAATGGCAAAACATTAGACATTAATATCTTTTTTTTAGGCTAACGTATAATTTATTTACATAGTGCATATTGTCCATGTAAATTTATATATTTTAGTTCTCAAAAAGTAGTAACTCGTTATGTAAGTGCGTCAGATACAATGTTGTCTAATATTTACGTTAAATTTAAAACAACTAATTATTCAATAATTAAAACTAATTATAAAATTATCTATACTATTTCAGAATTTCCACATTATACAAAATAATTTTTCTATCAATTTATATTTTAACGAAGTATTCCATGGCATTGTACAGAATCTAAGAATGCAACTTCCATTCAAGGTTATACTTACTCGCAATATCATACGAATACTTTCACGTTAACGTAAACTCGTAATCAAAGAATCGTAGAGTATATACATATAAAGTTCTATAAAATATCGAGAAGTCCTGATATAATCGTAAAAGTAATTAATGACTCGGGCATTGACGATTTTGGGTAAAAAAATCACGAAAAAACGACTAAAAATTAACGCGGCTTTCCTTATTAAATTTATTACGTAATAATTTCGGCTATATCAATTTTCTTGAAATTGGGAAAAGAATGCAAAATTTTTATGTCGAAGGAAGGTTTGCGATTATTAAGGGCAATCATGGAAGACACGGTATTGACATAATATCGGGCTCATAAATATTCATAAATAATGTGAGAGGCACGAGCAAATTAACTATGTAGGTATTAATCTATGTAGGTAGGGTTGACATGGAGCGGCAAATAATCGATATGTCGTTGAAGAATTCTATTCTCGTTTATCGATGCAAGCTAAGGCGCCACGGAATTACTTATATTTAGCAGTTTCTACGTGTTGGAGCGTTGCGTATGAAATTATGATATCCACGGTAATGGTCATTGGGCAACAACTTTGTTTCATCCTGTACAATATCTCTTGGGCATAATTATATAGAGGCTCGCGCGTAGTGGAAAGGAGTACGAAGCCCGTGGTTATTCTTTCTTGTTATTAATTTTTTCACGCCGTTGGTTAAGTGATGTTACTCATTGCCTTTTATTATAAGCAATCACAAAATCGCTTTATTCAATTTAGCCGTTGATTTATCTCGCTTGATATACAATTATTCTCTCTATTCGCCTCTTGGGAGGCGATAATTTAAATATGGCGAAACAAGACGGCGGAAAGCGCGTACTGCGAGCGAATTTATCAAATACATTTTCAGCTCGGTTAGGAAACAGCGATGAAAATCATTCGAGATCCAATGTGTGGTTGATCCTTGGAAGCGCGGCATTAGAATATCGTAAATACCATGGAGGCTTACACGAGATTCTTAATCAACGTTTTATCCATGCGATTTGCATTCAGATATGATAAGACAATTATTTTAAATACCATTGGGCTTGAACTTATGTAGGTGGTGGGGGAGAGGGAGAGGTGAGAAGGGGGTGGAGGGGGTGGGGGGGGGGGGGGGGGGGGGGGGGGGGGGGGGGGGAGAATGTCATTGTCTCGCGCCTGGGCTTCGTAATATTTTTCGAAAGTCATGGCCGATTAGCGTATATTGTTTGCATTTCGGCAGTGATGATAAACAAATCTAGCGAGCGTATCTCGATTTGTAAAATTCTATTGAAGCCAAACGTATTTACGGCTCAAAGCAGCTATCTGTTTATCAATCGACAACTCGTTGTCGTTCATCCTCTATTCCGGATAAATCTATTTTAACGTATTAGACTTAATAAATTATTGTATAATTGCACGCACTCGATAGTCCATCAAACAATTAAAATGGCTTAACGACGTTTAACGACCACTTCATTTCCAGCGCAGTGCTTTAATATCTAAACGGCAAGCTATGCCAGTGTAGAATTATTAAGCCACTGTTAAGTAATAAATTATTACCAAGTTCTAAGATACACTTGCTTTTAATGAATTGGTGACTCGAAGAGTGACGACGCTCAACAAATAATGTCACTCTAGCTTTCAGTGCAAAAAGTGCAAATATCACAGTAACGCAGCTAGATATAGATAGCTAGATGGATAGACCGACAGAGAAATTGACGAGAGAGAGAGAGAGAGAGAGAGAGAGAGAGAGATAGAGAGAGAGAGAGAGAGAGTGAGTGAGTGCGTTTTACATTCATGAATTCGATCAAGAGCCGTCATAAATATTATTGTTTGGGTTTCAGTAGAGAGGCTTTCAGTAGATAAAGTCAGGGCTGCTTCGGCATGAAATTGATGTTAGGACGATGAGGCCAATTCATCGCGGGCAAGTGCAACGCGAAATAAATAGCGAGACAAAATGAGAAGCTCCGAGCGGGACAGCACCTTGACCCACGAGACTCCCGGGTACTTAACAGTTTTACTAGCCGCCCTTGAGACGCACAACAATACAAAGCCAACAAACAAAGGCGAAGAGATATAAAGCTGTCGGCTCACCTCTCGTGCATGTGCCTGTACTGCTCCATACTCTTGCAGTGCGCCTCCGTGGCAAGGGTGGGATTCGGCATGTATGTCTGGTCGGCCATGATGAGGGGGCTCGGCGTCTCGAGGTTCCTGCAGCTCCTGCGGCGCGCGCACCAACGGGCTGCGATTGTGCCGTGGCAGGAATATGAATCGAGCCGAAAATCGAAATCACCCTGCGCGCGCCCTGGAGATCTGCCTCGGCTGACCGTGGGCAAGACCGTGGGCGCTGGGGGAGGATTATTTGGACTTGAGTTTATCGGTGAGACGGGTAGGTGAGGTCCGACTAGCAATCGCCCACCTCGGTTTACTCAGTTTGTCGTCGTCGTGGTCGTTGTGGTCGTCGTGGTCGTTGTGGTCGTCGTGATTGTCCTCGTCGTCGTCGTCGTCGTCCTCGTCGTCGTCGCCTCGATCCAGGGGTGGAAAACCACGGCGATGACGCGCGTGTGCGGCCCGACCGAGAAACCGACTGCGACTGAGTGGTCGACGGAGGAGCGTGCGACGCCACTTCCCTACGATCGAATCGAGGTGGGGGTCTCCTCCGTCAAAGCGGTAGTGCGGTGGTGGAGCGCGGAGCTGGGTGGCACGGGCGGGCGGAGGGGGGGGGGGGGCTTCAGGGCTTTCGCGGGGCTTTTCATAGGGATCGAGAGATTAGCCTTGTTTTATTAGATTTAACGTTGGATATTGTTGTGTTTGGCTGCTTTAAGGATATCTCGATTATTTTCTTCATGCTTATGGGCGCGAATGACCGAAGGGTTTTTTTTTTTAATATAAAAATTTCTGACTGGAGCAGGTAGTAGAGACTATCGAGTCGACTTATTTATACTCTTTGCGATTAAATAAAATAATACACGATGAACTGTTACTATACGCAATTTTTCTGTCTGAACGATTATATTTATTTATTTATATTTATTTATATTTATTTATATTTATTTATATTTATTTATATTTATTTATATGTATTTATATTTATTTATATTTATTTATATTTATTTATATTTTTTTATATTTATTTATATTTATATATAAACGTGATGTTTTATTTTGTATCGTTGAAAAATATTATAATATCTGTATAGTAATGTTTGCTTTTGGCATTTTTCTTTGGCAGTTTTTCATTAAAGTAAGTATACCTGGTTTTTCTGCGTTTTAATAATTTTTTTGATAAACTGCCAGGCGTTGTTACATCATTTGTCATGTTCTCATTCTAAAAATTACCATTATCTAAAAAGTACAATAAAATATTATCTCAGCTATGTAAAAACAAGTTTTCTTTTATCGACATTTAATCATGTAAAGGCGACAATTTTTCTTTTATACTACATAGTTTATTTACTATTCTTTTAAACGGCTAAACTCATCGGTTTACCCCTTTATGATAAGATGAAACTTCTATTTTATCAACAGAAACGTAGATACTAAAAGAAGATGCAAAAGAAAACGAAGAATACTGAAAAACTAATGATATGTAGAATGTTATATTATTTTTTCACAATGAATTAAATGATAATTATATCAAGCTATATTAATTAAAAGAATTATCAAGATTAATCGAGGAAAACAATACATTACTAATACGTAAATTATTATACTTAACATTTATCTACTAATGTTTGGTCAGATAATTTTATTCTCTAATGAATTGCTCTAAGCAAATTTTAAATGTTTACATACACCAGAGGCTATTTAATCAAATTTTAAGCATATTATTACATTATAATATTGTAAATAATGCTCAATGGTCAAAAATACCTACTGCAGATGATAAAGTAGAAATGTTTTGGCAATGAATTTCGGAAAACTTGTAATTCCTACGTCTTACACAGGCAATACATAGTAGTATTTAATTTTACAATGAAGATGAAATTTGTTATAGAAAGCAAACGATTATGCCTAGATAAACAAAACAATTTTATGAATAAAATTTTTTTTTTTTAATTACTATAATTATATTATTTAATAGCATTCTGTTATTGCCATAAAGATAAAGAATAAAAGCTGCTATTCTGGAACTGATTAACATATTAAAAGCAAATATAAAGATGAAAATTAATCATAATTTCAACAAAATTATCGTGCATTGTTAATGCGCATAAAATATTTTACTATTGACAAATGTAAAATATTCGTTAGAAAACTAAAATAAAGTATATTGACTAGCAAATTGAAATGCCAATTATATACTGTGGAATAATCGACATTGATGATAAATCTGATATTCAGTGATCTATTCTTTATATGTATAAATTATACTTACCTTCTGAATCACCTGTTTAATGTTATTTTGTTTGAGCTCCCTTTTTACTTTACAGTATCAAACATTATTATAAAGCTTCATATTGTTTTTTTTTCTTTCTCTTACGATAACACACACACACACGCGCGCGCGGGCGCGCACACACACACACACACAAAATTTTTACGAATTAAATATATAGATATATGCAATACTTAATATATTGAACAAATGAAATTACTTTGTTGAAAAATGCAAATAAATATATTTTATCTGGTTACGTTTATGAGCCGATTAAATAGAACGGCTAATTACAATAAAATTTCAAGGATTGTTCTGTGAAAGTGAAGGGATATAGGTGAATTGAATTACAACTGAATGCAAGATCTTTAAGGCATTGCAATATTTATATTCTGCGTAGATCGATTATCATATTATATTGAATAACACCTGTTCCCAATGAATATAAACTATTATCATGATTTATTTGAACTGAAAAAAAAAATTTTTCTTCACATTGAATTGCTTGTATTCCTATTGATGTATTTATGTTGGCAAAGAATTAGCTAATGTTTTTTCTAAAACAATATCGATCTTATTTCCATTGTTTGAGTAATATAATTAAAAAAAAAAAAAAAAAAAAAAAAAAAAAAAAAAAAAAAAAAAAAAAAATAAATAAATAAAAACGAACTACATTATCATATAATGAATATATCAATATATTTCATGAATAATCAATAACTATGCATGTATAATTAAATAAACGTCCATAACGATTTTGTAGAGTTATTTAGCGATAAAATATTATTATCAAATCCTTTTTCAATATATAAATAAATATATTATTGTTTATCGTAGTCATATAAATTAATTTCTAAACTCGTATTCAAATATATTTTTATTCATTTCAATTACACAAATTTACTGTATTCTCTACATTTACTATTGACAATCGAATGAAAATAAAATAAATTCATTATATTGTAGAGTATAAGTGAGGTTGAAATCTGTAATATAAAATATAATAGAATAAAAGATGTGAATGCATTGTCAACAAAGGTTTAATCTTATTATAAATACGTTCAATGTAGTTACAATTGTTTAAAATTTACAATTCAATTTCATTAATACTTTTAGATTTAAATATCAAAAAGATTAATTTCACAATAGAAATAACAATTATTGTTAATTAAATTAATTATATATGATTTTCATATAACACTGGTATTAAAAAAAGGGTCAAATCGGTGCAGAACACATTTATTAGATATCGTACATTCATTGCATTTTGGTTTTTAATATTAAATATGTGTACAGTAGAGGCGAGTTACGTTTCTCATGTATCGAAGACATAATATGGAATAATAATTATAATAAAGTTCTTAATTGTTTCTTTAACTATAATGTTCACATCATACAGTAGAATAAAATGTCTTTATTACTTTCTTCATCTTGTCGTCATTTTATTTTAACTTTCCATTATTTTAGGCAATTATCTGTATAAGAGTAACTGATTTATATTTTAAATAATCTGTTCTACTATACATTAAAATACAGTACGAAATGTAATATTGAGCAAATATATATTAAATTTTAATTTCTTGCGGCTTGAAATGCATAATTTAAATTAGAAAAATCTACAGCTGAATTTTTCGTATAATTAATTATAAATAAAGAATTTCTTCTGTTCTCTTTTGAATTTAACAATTTATTTTACGTGATAAAAGAGTGAGATTAGGATATTTTTTATATTCCTTTTTTCTTCATAATTTAGAAAAAAAAATTTCTACTCATTTACTTATATCAATGCATTAAAAAGATATGGTAATTATTTTATTAGTAATATTTAAAGTTTATATTTCTTAATTAATAAGGTGACAGTTTCGTTCGATTTAATATATCGATGTGTTTAATCATCTATTTGGCTCATGTAATAATTAATTAATTAATAATGCTTCTTACATCATTATTTAATATCGTTCATTTTACCAATTTAACAAATATAATACACAAATAAGTATGCAAAGTCAAGAGAATTCTTTCATGCTTAAGTTAAATATTTAATAAACTAAATATCGAAAATATTTTAAATAAATTAATATCTGCATGAATTATTAATAATACAATTTCATTTGTTTATTATAATTATTATAACTTATGCATTTATATATTTGAAGGCTAATGAAAAATATATTCAGAAGTACGAAAGAAATGTATATTTTTTTCTTTATCATTATGTCTCATTATTGTATTTATTACATATACTTTTTTCTACATAGTGATTTTCAAATTCGCTTCTATTTCTGATTTTTTTAATTTATAATAATAATACAATTTGTAATACACATAATACAAAAATTATCCAGAATTAATATTCATCTCTACTCAATGTTCCTCATTAATTCATAATCCAATTATGACTTTTTTCAGTGTCGATAAACACGTTCTCAGTGAGTATACAATATAAGATTATTTTTTTCTTCTCTTTTTGTTTTCCTATACAGTTATAAAGAATTTACAATTATTCATTACATTTAGTATTAAATTAAAAATACAAATTAAATCATAAGGAACAAATTGTTTAGTAGGTTTGGTCTTACTTGCTTAAACCATCATATTTTTGTAACAATTACATTTTTGAAGCATAAATTTCATTTTGAATTATAATTATAAATTTGTTAAATAATTTATTTTCATTGGATTGTCAATGATAAATATAAATAATAACGTAGAATTTATGTAAGACAAAATTTCTCTAGTATAATCTTCCTTTAATCGTCTACTTTTAGATGCTAATGAACGTGGAGTCCTTAAAATTGGCAAAAAAGTAGATTTAATTATAATGCGTTATATTATACTTATTACAGATTAAATATTTTTTATGTCTAGAAGAATTAAAATACTTTAGAAAAATTTAGGCTGTGTCGGAATAATACAATTTGTAATAACTATGAGTCAAATTTATAAACGCTTATTTATATGATTGTTCATTCAATTTTACTTAATATTCTTTTTTTTTTTTTATAACTTTCTAATGTTTGTCTGATTGTCCAAGTTTTAAATATTTTTCAAGATAATCGATTAATATA